AGTCAGCACAGTTCAGTGTTTGGACTGGTAATGCACTGCCAGACGGACAGGGAGCAGTGTTTGCACCGTTGTACTCACCCGGTGCTGGTGAGCAGGAGGCGGGGGAGTGCGGTGGGGTCCGAGGGGGCTCAGATGTAAACAGTCAGGCCCCCCCGGGGAGCACTGAACAACATAACGTATGTAATCCATCAACAGGCTGCTACCGTATCTGTTTGGGTGTAATCCGTCTGGACGATAGGCTTCGTTACGTTTCCAGAAAAGGGCAAAGTTATTCACAAAGACAAAGTTAAAAGAGCTGCATGTAGCCTGGATCCACATATGCAGCGCCACAACACGACTGTAGAGGCAGTCACCTCTGTTTACAGTCTGGATTGGACCAGAAATAAAAACAGATAGTCCGGAGGATTGAAGGAGGTGGAACAGATCCATAAAATGTTTCTTAGTGACTTCTGACTGCTGAAGTTTCATGTCGTTAATTCCCACATGCACGACTACCTTGGAAACGGTATCAGGCAGGGACTGAAGCAGAGGAGGGAGACGTATGAGCAGGTCTGGTACAGTAGCTCCGGGAATACAGCGAGTGACCGCGTTGAAGAAGCGGACGTGTCTCACGATGGAATCTCCAATAATCAGAGTGGTCGGGGCGAAGAGTGGCCTCGGAGAAGGAGCTCGGTGGACGGAACCAGCGGGTTCACCCGAAGCAGGACCCGAGCCTGAGCGCCGCTGAACACATGGAGAGGAGGAGCGGGGGTGCTGACTCTCAGCTACAGGCGACCCACGCTGTGTGCTCGGGGACGCTGGAGCGGTGAGAGGGGCTGGCTCTGGACGCTGCTGCTGACCCGGTGGAGGTGAGCGGTGGTGATGATGGCTCGCTACCCCAGTCTGAGGCTGCTGCACTGGGGTCAACATGGCTGGTGGACCGCTCTTTCGCCTGAGGACTGCTTCCTTTAGGAGCGTTTTCCTCGTAGTGGACTTGGATCCTCGAGCAGTAGAGTTTGCTGCAGTGTCCAGAGGTTCTGCTGAGGGGGCCGGGATGTCGGTGGAGAGGGCTGCATAGCGGTTTGCCAGACTCAGGACATGGGCCACGGCGCAGGATGGCTCCTCGGAATCCGCGGGCTCGTTATTCGTAAGCGGGCGCTTAGGTGTAGAACAGGAGGGTCCGGAGCTGACGGATCTCTCCCACACGACAGTGTCACAATATGCAGCGCTCAGTGACATAAGCCGTGAATGCTGCCCACCAGCGACTTCAAAAAGTTTGGATACTAGAGATTGTTTCTCATTCAACTCTGCGGTGAGACGAAGGACTTCTTTTCGTAGATCTGCAATGGTGGCACGGTCGCTCTCACGGAGCTCCAAGGTGAGGCGACTAATATTGTGCATGTTTGAGCCAATTTCATTGTCACTTTCCATGTCCTCGTTAGCTTGTGTTAGCCTCTGTGCTACTAGTGGGTTTCAGTCGGGACTAAGTGCTATTTGCTGAAACCACTGAATTAAAAAGATAAAACACTCAGATATATTAAAAAACTGAACAATAAAAACGCGCTAAAAAGTTGTTAAAAGTTTACTAAAAAGGTGCACAGAGCAGCCCTGCAGTACTGCTTACTTTGACACACCTGCGTTGATTCATGATGAATCAACGCAGGTGATTCTTGATTATGGTGTTATATTATTCCTAGACCTGTGATGTGAAGATTACCGGAACGGAAAAAACCAGAGCCGGGAACAGGAACTCAGAACAGGTTTTACTTGAAACATGATTTGAATTCCTGTTCTTATGTGACTGGAGCAGGTTCTGTTGGACCTTTGTGCTGAAGAGTTGTATTATATTGTCACACAATATATTACAACTTTTCAACTCTGTCTATCTGATATGTGTTAATACTTTTAATCTTTTTTTCAGAATCACTTCAGGTCCCTCTCTCTTGGTCTCTCTCTCTGTTCCCTCTATTAAGTCTCTCTGGTCTCTCTATCAGGTCTCTATCAGGTCTCTCTCTCTGGTCTATCTCTTACTCTCTAAGGTTTCTCTATCAGGTGTCTCAGGTCTCTCTCAGGTCTCTCTCTGGTCTCTCTATCAGGTTTCTAAGGTCTCTCTCCTGTCTGTCTATCAGGTCTCTCTCCGGTCTCTCTATCAGGTCTCTCTGGTCCCTCTATTAAGTCTCTCTGGTCTCTTGATCAGGTCTTTATCAGGTCTCTCTCCGGTCTCTCTATCAGGTCTCTCTGGTCCCTCTATTAAGTCTCTCTGGTCTCTTGATCAGGTCTTTATCAGGTCTCTCTCCAGTCTCTCTATCAAGTCTCTCTGGTCCCTCTATTAAGTCTCTCTGGTCTCTCGATCAGGTCTTTATCAGGTCTCCCTCTGGTCCCTCTCTCAGATCTCTCTCTAGTCTCTCCATCAGGTCTCTCTGGTCTCTCTATCAGGTCTCTCAGGTCTCTCTCCGGTCGCTCTATCAGGTCTCTCAAGTCTCTCTCCGGTCTCTCTATCAGGTCTCGCTCTAGTCTCTCTATCAGGTCTCTCAGGTCTCTCTCTGGTCTCTCTATCAGGTCTCTCAGGTCTCTCTCCGGTCTCTCTATCAGGTCTCTCAGGTCTCTCTCCGGTCTCTCTCTGGTCTCTCTATCAGGTCTCTCTACGGTCTCTCTATCAGGTCTCTCAGGTCTCTCTCCGGTCTCTCTATCAGGTCTCTCAGGTCTCTCTCTAGTCTCTCTATCAGATCTCTCTGGTCTCTCTATCAGGTCTCTCAGGTCTCTCTATCAGGTCTCTCTCTAGTCTCTCTATCAGGTCTCTCAGGTCTCTCTCTGGCCTCTCTCTCAGGTCTCTCTCTGGTCTCTCTCTCAGGTCTCTCTCTGGTCTCTCTATCAGGTCTCTCTCTGGTCTCGCTCTCAGGTCTCTCTCTAGTCTCTCTATCAGGTCTCTCCAGTCTCTCTCTGGTCTCTCTATCAGGTCTCTCAGGTCTCTCTCTGGCCTCTCTCTCAGGTCTCTCTCTGGCCTCTCTCTCAGGTCTCTCTCTAGTCTCTCTATCAGGTCCCTCCAGTCTCTCTCTGGTCTCTCTCTCCGCTCTTTAAAACTAGAGGTGCTAAAGTAAAAGCTGCATGTGCCTCACCAGGAGGATTTGACAAGAACTCAATACTTGTTTTACTTGTACTTGAATAGTTAGTAATGTGACTGAGCAGGTTCTGTGACTGAGCAGGTTCTGTGGCTTGGGACATTTGTGTTGGAGAGATATAAAAGAGGTGTCTGAAGTGACAGAAAACAGATCCAGAGACGCAGGACCTGGGCGCAACGGTAAGAACACAATACAATACAACTTTCTATGTTGGTTTACTGATGTGTGTTCAAACTTTTCTTCTTTTTTTTTTTCTCAGAATCACATATCTCCAAAGGTAATTTAAAATGATTCAATATGCAGGGGTGCACATAAGTGGTACGCAGGTACGCATGCGCGACAAATATCAGAAATGCGTACTATCATTGCGTACTTCACATAGACCATAGACCAGTCCTTCTCATAGTGGGGCGCTCCTCCCTAGGGTGGCGTGGTGCAATGCCAATGTGTGACGGAGACGAATATATAATATGATTTATAAGCCTTTTCTTCCTGCTACTGTCAGACTGTACAAGGAAGAACGAGGCCTAACAAACACTACTGACCTGACCTCACATTTCGTGCAATAATTTGAATAATGTCAGAATGTGCGCAATACAAAACCACATGTGTCACTTTACTGAGTCACTGTGTCCCAGAGCCTCATGCTGCTAATGTACAGATGTAAAAATACTGCTGCTAATGTACAGATGTAAAAATACTGCTGCTAATGTACAGATGTAAACATACTGCTGCTAATGTACAGATGTAAAAATACTGCTGCTAATGTACAGATGTAAACATACTGCTGCTAATGTACAGATGTAAAAATACTGCTGCTAATGTACAGATGTAAACATACTGCTGCTAATGTACAGATGTAAACATACTGCTGCTAATGTACAGATGTAAACATACTGCTGCTAATGTACAGATGTAAACATACTGCTGCTAATGTACAGATGTAAACATACTGCTGCTAATGTACAGATGTAAATATACTGCTGCTTATGTACAGATGTAAACATACTGCTGCTAATGTACAGATGTAAACATACTGCTGCTAATGTACAGATGTAAACATACTGCTGCTTATGTACAGATGTAAACATACTGCTGCTAATGTACAGATGTAAACATACTGCTGCTAATGTACAGATGTAAATATACTGCTGCTTATGTACAGATGTAAACATACTGCTGCTAATGTACAGATGTAAACATACTGCTGCTAATGTACAGATGTAAACATACTGCTGCTAATGTACAGATGTAAATATACTGCTGCTAATGTACAGATGTAAACATAAAACTATATATTTCTGCCCGAGAATATAGAGTGTATTATCATTATTTCTTATTCCAAAGTCAGAGATTGTATACTTCATTCTTGCTCCTTCTGTAGCTGTCAGAGTGGTTACCACTCTTGATTTTCAGCAAGAAGGTACTGGGTTCGAATTCCAGTCAGAAGGGGGTCTTCTGAGGGATTTTGCATGTTCTCTCTGTGTCTGCATAGGTTTCCTCCAGCTGCTCTGGTTTCCCCTACCACTTAAACATGCACAATAGGTAAAGGTCCTGACCAAGCTGAGTATCAACACCTGGAGAGGGTTCCCAGGCGCCGTGTGGACCTTAATCTGTGCTATGCTATAGTTATAGTTATCTTGTGCTCTGTGTAACTGGTGATGCAACACTAAAATTCCCACACTGTGGGACAAACAAAGGGCCTCTTAATCTCAGGTAGGACCACTAACGAAACATGTATTTTTATCCACACAGATGAAGTTCCTTGTTTGCCTTGTGATGCTGATCTGTAATGCATTGGCCATTTCAGGTACCATCCAAACTATCATAGTGAATTTCAAATGAGTGTATTGAAAACTACAGCTATCCGGTTTCTCATTCTTTTCAGATTTGTCGGGGAAAATGCTTGTTTTTCGTGTAGAAACCGACACTGATCACATCAAGATTACGCCTTCTCAAAGTAGCCTTCATGCTCTGACCGTCTGCCACCGGTAAGTGCTGCTTTACATTAAGCAAAAACGTAGAAGTACCATGAAATTAAAACCCCCCAAAAATCTCATGGTACACTCCAGTAAAGTTGAGCCAGTCTCACAGCAACAACCAAGCATTTTTGTTTTCCATTTACAGATCCTTCACGGACCTCACTCGATCTCATGCTCTGTTCTCTCTGGCCACACCATCTCATGACAACGCCTTTCTCACCTTTTGGCATGAAGACAAGCAGAGTATTTCCCCTTTATGTCTCCAGTGAGAGGCCCTATACCAACGTCGACTATGCTCCAAACAAGTGGCACTCCATTTGCACAACCTGGGACTGGAGCTCTGGTCTGTTACAGTTGTGGTTGAACGGGCAGCCACTGACCAAGAAATACATCAACGGAAATGCCATCATTGTTTTGGGACAGGTAAAGTGATTCACAATTTTAAAGGACACATCGTTTTAGTATTTTTGAGGTGTTTCTCCAGTCTGATAATATTGATCACAACACATGCTTTCAATCAACTGTGCCAATGTCAGATATTTGGTATTCAATGTATGTACCACTAGATGTAAGTGTTTTGCCCATCCTGTCCATTTCTATTTCCAATACAATTCCATCTAAACAATACACAGTAGTGCGTTTGCTTCCCTGCAAGAATATCCTGGGTGTGACGCCCTGGCGGCATAGGGACCTTTCAAATAATGGGCACAAATATTCTTATTACAACAATCATATTAACTTACTTATTGCCCATTGGCATGTAGGGCAGCAACAAAGTCTCACAATCCCTAGGTCATTAGCCTCTATCTGGATCAGGCCTCATGTCAATGTTTGGTTCTGACATCTTGGGGCTGTTTTTTTGTGATGTCCTTTAACGTCTCTTCTAAGGGCAAGCCGCAAAATAGTTTCATCATCTCCCAATTATGACTGTAACCTGTTGTGAGTCTAGTCCTGGTCTTGTCTTGGCCGGGACAGTGGTGATTATCCAGAAACTCGACCTTTATCAACATTTATGTACATTGGTAACCGTGCCCCTTATTCACCAATTGATTTATGTGTTTGTTTAATCATTGCTTTGTTATGTTTGAACTGTTGGGCTCTCTGTTGTGCTTTGGCAAATTTTTCTCAAGTCCACCAAGATGACTACGGTTGTGATTTAGGGCTATACAAGAATACATGGTATTGTCTAGGTCTGGGTCTGGTCTTAGTAGACATGCATCCATAATATCTGTTTGTTTTTTGTTGTGCCCAGGAGCAGGACTCTCACGGTGGAGGATTCGACATCAAACAGTCTTTTCAGGGGATGTTGACCGACGTTCACATGTGGAACTACGTCCTCTCCACCTGTGAGATCCAAAGCTACATGAAGGACCAGTTCTACACTCCGGGGAACGTAGTCACCTGGAAAGCTCTGGATTTTGCCATCACCGGGAATGTGCAGATCGAAGACAAGCAAACCAGCTGCAACAATTAGGAATCCATATGTTTTCCAAAATTATTATTTTCTGAGATTACAAAACACCATATATTTCGCATGTCTGCTTCTTCTATACGCTGGCTGCTTCCATGAGACAAATATTCGGCAAAAGTTGATATGTACTGATCAAGAAGATGTGAGATTTTGTTACAGCATTTGCTTCATGTAGATTAATGCAGATTGTGTGTATTTCCTTTGGAGTTCTAGGTATGTGTGTGTTTTGAATTGAAGACTAATTAAAACATTTAAAAACTTATAGGCCTAATGAAAGTGTTTTTATAATATTGTGGGTTAAAAGTTTGTGATAGTTAAGTGTACATCTGTCCTCAGTACTTTCTAAGAAGTAACTTGTATGGGTCTGGGTCTGGTTGGGTCTTGGTTGGGTCTGGGTCTGTTCTTGGTCTGAGTCTGGTCTCAACCTGGGTCTGATCTTGTTTTTGGTCTGGTCTCGGTTTGGTCTTGGTCTGGGTTTAATCTGGCCTATGTTTGGTCTGGTTTTTGCCTGGGTATGGTCTGTTTTTGTTCTGGTCTGACCTTGATCTTTGTTTGTCTGGTTTTGCACTAGGTCCGGTCTTTGTCTGGTCTATGTCTATGTCTGGCCTTGATTTGAATCTGGTCTTGATCTGGGTCCAGTCTTGGTTTGGTCTGGGCCAGGGTCTGGTCTTGGTTTAGCAAACACAATGATGTCTTCAGCTCTCGGTCAGACTACTCCTACTCTTTGGTCAAAAGACTAAAATACTAAATTCTTCCTAAAATGACTTATTTTGTTAAATTACATCACTGTAAAGTTCTATGTTGAAGAAACTACTTTTAAAGCTGCATTCTAGTACATTTTGAGTGGACTGCTTTTCCTCATGTTGGACAATCGGACAGACCTACAGAATAGCTTGACCCCTATACTGTTTATAGTCTGCATATTCAGACAGAGACAGTGATAATGTTTTGTGTAAAGTTCATCTCAGAGGACTTTAAATGGAAATATGTATGATTTTCATGTCGAGTAATCATAAAATGGCCCTAACCTGTCAAAAGGCATTAATGAAACATGCTCTTTTCCAATACTTCTTTAACTGAAAAGAGTAGTTCAGGCGAGATATTTGAAATTAAAGATTCCAGTGTTTCCCACAGATTTGAAAGCAATGTGTGGGTGTGGGGGGGGGGGGGGGGGGGTTCACTTTGGAAGTGCATTATAAATAAAATGTATTATTATTATTATGTAGGGAATATGTGTACCCATCTAATTAGCATATTATGGCGTCATATGGCGTTGGAAACTGTGTATTTTAGAATTTTCATAAAATGTTTGTATTGTTTTAACTGATAGACTATAAATCACTTAGACATGAACACACAAAGAAAACTCATACTACTGTATAACATGCTAAATGTTCAGGGAAATAGTAACAAATGCAAATCATGACTTCTGTGAGCAGTCTGCCCAGGTGCGCGCCTGAGTGTCACCGCGACTCTCCTGCTGCTGTGTCTCCCCTGCTCTCTCTCTTCTCCCCCGCTCTCTCTCTTCTCCCCCGCTCTCTCTCTCGTCTCCCCCGCTCTCTCTCTTCTCCCCCGCTCTCTCTCTCGTCTCCCCCGCTCTCTCTCTTCTCCCCCGCTCTCTCTCTCGTCTACCCCGCTCTCTCTCGTCTCCCCCGCTCTCTCTCTTCTCCCCCGCTCTCTCTCTCGTCTACCCAGCTCTCTCTCGTCTCCCCGCTCTCTCTCTCTCGTCTCCCCCCTCTCTCTCTCTCGTCTCCCCCGCTCTCTCTCTTCTCCCCCGCTCTCTCTCTTCTCCCCCGCTCTCTCTCTCGTCTACCCCACTCTCTCTCGTCTCCCCCGCTCTCTCTCTCGTCTCCCCCGCTCTCTCTCTTCTCCCCCGCTCTCTCTCGTCTACCCCGCTCTCTCTCGTCTCCCCCGCTCTCTCTCTCGTCTCCCCCGCTCTCTCTCTCGTCTCCCCCGCTCTCTCTCTTCTCCCCCGCTCTCTCTCTCTTCTCCCCCGGTCTCTCTCTCGTCTACCCCGCTCTCTCTCGTCTCCCCCGCTCTCTCTCGTCTCCCCCGCTCTCTCTCGTCTCCCCCGCTCTCTCTCTCGTCTACCCCGCTCTCTCTCTTCTCCCCCGCTCTCTCTCTCGTCTCCCCCGCTCTCTCTCTCTCGTCTCCCCCGCTCTCTCTCTTCTCCCCCGCTCTCTCTCTCGTCTACCCCGCTCTCTCTCTTCTCCCCCGCTCTCTCTCTCGTCTACCCCGCTCTCTCTCGTCTCCCCCGCTCTCTCTCTCGTCCCCCCCCGCTCTCTCTCTCGTCTCCCCCGCTCTCTCTCTCGTCTACCCCGCTCTCTCTCTTCTCCCCCGCTCTCTCTCTCGTCTCCCCCGCTCTCTCTCTTCTCCCCCGCTCTCTCTCTCGTCTACCCCGCTCTCTCTCTTCTCCCCCGCTCTCTCTCTCGTCTACCCCGCTCTCTCTCGTCTCCCCCGCCTCTCTCTCTCGTCTACCCCGCTCTCTCTCGTCTCCCCCGCTCTCTCTCTCGTCTCCCCCGCTCTCTCTCTTCTCCCCCGCTCTCTTTCTCGTCTACCCCGCTCTCTCTCTTCTCCCCCGCTCTCTCTCTCGTCTACCCCGCTCTCTCTCTCGTCTCCCCCGCTCTCTCTCGTCTCCCCCGCTCTCTCTCTCGTCTCCCCCGCTCTCTCTCTCGTCTACCCCCCTCTCTCTCTCGTCTCCCCCGCTCTCTCTCTCGTCTCCCCCGCTCTCTCTCTTCTCCCCCGCTCTCTTTCTCGTCTCCCCCGCTCTCTCTCTCGTCTCCCCCGCTCTCTCTCTTCTCCCCCGCTCTCTCTCTCGTCTACCCCGCTCTCTCTCGTCTCCCCCCGCTCTCTTTCTCGTTATGGTTTCCACACTGGTTCAACGCGGTCTTGCGCGAATATTTTGAATGGGAGTATGACCTTTTTTGGGGCCAGGGAGGTAGTCAGCCAACAAGTGGCAGGGAGTATGAGTGAATTTTGACAGTCTGTTTGACATATAGATTGACACACTCGGCCGTTTTAAACAGTACCGCAGCTTGTCGATTTAAGTTGACTGTGGCGCCTAGAGGGTAAATAACAAAACGCAATGTGTGCCGGTCGGTTTCAAATCTGTGGCGGTGCGCCACAGATTAGCCTACGTGTGGGAAACACTGGATTTCTTTTACAGCCCCTAAATATCATATTCATGTCGATGTCCTGTCCTCAACCGTTTCACCAATCAGAAATTCTGTGATCCGGGTTGCCAGAACTCACCGTGTCAAGCTTATCTTACTAGTAAAGTACCATGTGGCCGCAGAGCTCAAACTGTGTCAATATTATTCTCAAATCATTAATGCCAAAACAAGGAATAAAACCAGAATTTCTGTCTTTGTGAAAAAGGTGTTGGTTATAGATTTGTTGTTGACAAAACTCTTGTCTATTCAGATATTATTTTCACAGCTGGATTCGTCTTTATATCTGGCAACCTGAGTCAGGAAGAGTGAAAGAGGTTGCAGTGCCATTTTTGGACAGATGTTTACATACTGCTCCTTTAACAAAACCGCTGAATTCGCCAACATCAGATCAACAGTTTAACACAAGAAATGCAACAATATAAAACACGTAGAACTGCTGGTCCAATCATTTTGATAAATATGCATAAATGTTGTTGAATGTTGAGGTGAGTGTCCTGGATCAACCTAACTCACTGGGCTCTTTCTTAAAACTTGCAAAAAACACATTTTCATTCAATGTTATTCCAAACCAATATACATGTATAAAACACAAATGAGTTTCACAGAATCTTACAAACGTGATTGCTAAGACCCCTGCGGAATAAGACTCCAGACTCCATTACCGCGAGATGCTATCAGATCAGAAAATGATTGAGCGAGAGATAAATACATCCCTGAGAGAACCAACCTTATAATATTAACTAAGATAAACGCCGCTATTAACTCGTGCCAGTTAAAGCTGCAAACGAATGCTCTCTTAAAACTAAACGGCGCGGTCTTTGCTCGTTCCATCTGCTGCGAGTGATGCGTGAATCTGAATCTGAGGGGGAGATTTTTGTGGTCTCGGGGACAGATCTGGCATCACGCCTCGGATAATGTTCACTGATGACGGTGATAAGAATTCCCTAGAATCCTGCCTTCAAAGCTCTGGCATGATCGCGGACTGACGCCGGAATTTGCAACGGCGGGAGAAGGCGGCCTTTGATGAGGCGCGGCTAAGCGGAGACGAAGTGAAGCCAAGTGGGGATAGTGTGGATGTGGGGTCAGGGTGAGAGGGAGCTGCCCCTTATGGACCAATGCACTTTTTTTTCATTGCATTTCCTGTGTTTAAACTGTTTGATTCTCTGCCCAAGTAATCTTAATTTATATCAGGAATTTCACAGACCGAGGTCACTCAAAGAGCATCGGCAAAGAAGGACAAAAAAGACAATGGGAAAAAATCAAGAAACCTCAGGAAGACCAAAAAGGGGAGAGACGTATCCACTCACACTGACAGACAGGCTGTGGTGCCAGTGTAGTGGTTTTTAATTCAAATAACTTTCACCAAAAGCCGAAAGTAAAGTTAAGAGAGTGCTTTTTATTCATTTAGTTTCAGCATGAGGAAAACCGTCAGTCAGCATGGAGTCCGTGCACAAGACTGAAAATCCTGTCCTGGTTCCTGTGTTTTAATTCTCTTGGTCCGAGTTGGCAGTGGCCGGATAACTAAAAGCAAACCAGATGTTTCCTAATGACTTGTTCCCAAATATGTTTTCCTCATACCTTCTGGGTCAACTTGACATCTAGTGTGTGGCTCTTCCTAACACAGTGCAGAGAACATTCCACTGCACTTAAGAAATCATAATAATAGTCAAACATTCTACCACATATTTCCCCCCCTTTCATGGCTCCCAGCCATGAATTAAGTTCCTTCACTAACTTTTATCGAAGCAGTCACATGAGTTACACAATGTTGTCAATCAGTTATCACCGTGCACATTACAGAGTAATTTTAAACACTTGACACACAATACA